TTTGCTTGCGTTAGGCTATTTTATTTTATTTTAGATGTTTTTATTTCTTCCAAAAAAAATATTTGCTTGAGTTGAATGCATCGATGAATTGTGATGATGAGAGATGATCAATGTTTGATGATGAAATTGCTTGTTTTATTGTGATAAGGATTAGATGTTTGTTTAGCCTTTGATTCAACGGAACTTAGAAACGAATTATTGCTAATAATCACACCTTGTGCATGTGTTTGGTTGAATGTTTTGTATTTTAAATTTGGAATTAATTTGTGTTTCATTATGCTATGTTCGGTTTTATAACTCACCTTAGGAAACTTATGATACGAAGTATTGAGTAGTGAGTGATTTAGGATATGATTTGGGCCTTCTTTGAACCGTTTGAGCCTTTCAAGCCGATCTTTTTATCGAAATTATCCTTAGAACCATGGTTTGAGCCTCGGAGAAAAGGTGTTCTTTCTTTTAGCCAATATGTTTAAGGTGGAATATGTTCTTTCTTTTAGCCAATACGTTTAAGGTGGAATAGATGAAGATTCTTGAAAAAATTACCACTTGGAGTTTGGTTGGAAAATTTTAAAAAAGTCCATCTTCGTCCTCTTCAACAAAAATAAATGAAAAAAAAGAGAACAAGAGACTAGAAGGGAGCAAAATAAAAAAGGACTAGTTGTTGAATTGTTTTGAAAGCTCGATCCATTGTCTTAAGAGCAAAAATGGAGACTTTTGAAATCTTGAGAATCGAGCTTATTTAATTCCTTAGAGGTGAATTCATTGTTTCAAACGCCTATCTTTCAAATTTTGGCGTAATCACCTCAATTTAAGAAGCATAGCCTGTTATACATATATTTCCTACCTCGAACCAAAGAGCCTAACAATTGAAAGCCAAAAAGCCCCAATGATCGCAATAACTTAATATTCGGTATTAGTAGAGTAGAATAATTTGATGAGTGTTGGAAGTCAAACATATGCATGAAGCATAAATTTTTTCTATCTTTTAATTTACAAATATTGGATACTTGAAGCAATTGCATGATTTGTGGTTTTTGGCAATGGTAAGTGACTAAGTGCTATTGAATTTTGAGCTTGCGAATGCCTAAGAATTTTCATTATAATTACAAATTCTGAAAACGTGAAGTTGATCATTAATCTATGTAATGAGATGTAGTAGTTGACTTATTTGCTTATGAGTAGATTTTTCTTGAGGACAAGCAAAACTTCAAGTTTGGGGGTGTATTAAGTGTATATTTTGACCCTTAATCACATCGTTTAATTCGAGCTTTTGGTGTATTTTATTGATAATTGGTGCTTAAAGTGTTGATTTATCGTGTTTTAGGTACAAATTAAAGAATTGGATAAATAGAGGGTCAAAAATGCAATTTAGGAGAAAATATGGGCGAAAAGTGAAGAAGTCAAAAAATGTGAAGAACAAGATCCCAGACGGCCGTCCGGGAAATACACATGGAATTCGGACAGCCGTCCGAATATTTTCCTGGGAACAACAAAGTCTCTGGAATTGAGACGGCCGTCTGGAATTTGAACTGAAAATCCAGTTCTCTCTCCTCGCCGAACCCTAACCCTAGCTGCCCACCGCCGCTTTTTGTCCTATTCCGGCGGCATGTAGCCACCGGACCAGCTGATGGCGCCTCCAGGGCAGCAGCCCCACCCCTCTTTTGCAGCTATGCTGACCACCCAAAGAACTACTTCACCTCCCCGCCTAGTCCCCGTCGCTTTAGCACCTTGCCCCACCTCGTCTGTTGAACAAGCTCCGGAAGTGTTCTTCTTGTCAATGGAAATCGACCAACTAAATCGTCAGGTAGACAATACACTGATCATGAAATTCTCGGTAGGCCGCCCAAGTTTACAAGATATCCGTACACACATCAATACATAATGGAATCTAGTGTCGGAGACAGCTATAGGATTTTTAGATCCAAGATATATCACGATTCATATGGGCTTGACTCAAGATGCAAAGCTCGCCCTTTCACGCAATTCCAATAATATAAAGAATTGTACGTTCCGACTTTTTCGTTGGACACCAGAATTTACTATACACAAAGATAGTAGCAGGGTTGCGGTTTGGGTTCGTCTCCCTAAGTTACCGCTCCCATATTTCAACGTCTCATCTTTGGAACGAATTGGGACAACGCTTGGTAATCTCTTACGAGTGGATGATAGAACGCTGGCTTTTACACACACACATTACGCGAGAGTTTGCATAGAGGTTAACGTTGCAAACCAATTGCCGGAATCGATATTCATAAGTACATCTAAGGAGGATGGGTGGTGGCAAAAAGTCGAGTATGAAGGTAATCACCTGTACTGCTCTCATTGTGGGTAGTTGGGGGTATCTAGTTGGAGGATGCAGGAAAAAACAAGGGTTACCGAAACCTCCTAGCAAGCCAAAACCGATGGGGCAGAAACAACCTACTCATATATTGCACCGAGGTGAGACCGACACTACTGAGGTTGAGGCCGGTCATATCCCATGCAGCTGATTCTAACCCAAAATATGAATCATCATGGAAGTCGAAAAATATAGAAACTCCACTCCCTACCACGTATGGTACAGTTGCTGGTTATCAGGTGGACACCGGGTTAAACCCTAAGCACAAGACTCAAGACGGTTTAAACCCTACTCAACACGTTGACGGTACTCGAGACTCAACATGCCATGTAGATAACACGAAAAATACCCACACTCCCGACACTGATACTGGTGACATACAACAACCATCCATGCAAGCCCACTCCCACGAAGCGGAACAGACTTTAGAAAACTCTTCCTTAAATCCAACAACCAATAAGGAAATGAGAGGCGATTCAATTGCAGTTGAAAATCAGTTTGATGCATTACATTTGGTAGGTGATGCAAATTCGACCCTTACAATTTACCATTCCCACAGGAAAGAAGATAACGAAACAGGTGTATCCATGTCTCCAAAATCGGAGAGTGAAGTCCATGCGCGAGCACCGGGAACTAAAGTTCTAAACCCTAATAGTAGGTATTTTATCCACCTACCGATCGAGTTACCAAATCTCTGGCAAAGTTCTCCGCCAATCAGCAAGTTTAACCATGTCGTGTTTGATTTGGAACGCGCGCGGGGTCAGTCCACAATCTAAAGTTAATCATATAAAAACCCCCGTTTTTCAACAATGGGTCAATTTATTGGTGATATTAGAACCGAAACTTCCCACGGCTAGGCTACACAATTTTGCCTGAAAATTAGGTTTTCCCTCATACTTACACGGTGAGGGTAAAAACCAATACATATGGATACTATGGAAAACCGAGATGGATGTTCAATGCCTGAATATTTTTGAACAGGCTATCATAGTTTCTATTAACACCTATAGTAAACCGCCCTTCACAGCTTCCATTGTGTATGCTAGTTGTTCTCACCACTCAAGGAATGATCTTTGGTCTCACCTCTCTGCTATGAATGAAGTTATCTCGGATCCTTGGTTTCTGGGTGGTGATTTTAATGCAATTTTAGATGTGTCGGAAAAGAAAAGGGGCTTGAATGTCGTTACAAGACTCCATGATTTCCATAATTTTGTTATTCAATCGGGTCTTCTCGATGCAGGGTTTATTGGAAACCCGTTTACTTGGAGCAACAACCGACATGGTACTAACCGGGTTTGGAGCCGATGGGATAGAGTGTTGGTTAACTATGCATTCCAGCTCCGGTTTCCAACTTTGATGGTGGTACACCTTGACCGCTCTCTATCTGATCATGCTCCATTGTGCATTTACTTCGAGCAGGGCCAAGCTTCAGTGCATAAGAGTTTTATGTTTCAACGCATGTGGATTGACCACCACTCTTTCCACGACGTGGTTAGGCAGGCGTGGGATATGTCTGTGCATGGCTCCCCATTTTACATGTTCCACCAGAAACTCTCTAATGTGGGGAGAACACTCAAGAAATGGAACTGGGAAACATATGGAGACATTCATAACAATATCCGTGAATGCCATATTGGTATTCAAGGGTTTGAGGATAATCTTCAGCAAAATTGGAGCGACTTGGTGGATGATCAACTTATTGCTGTTGCTCAGCTCTAAGGCTAGGATTGCATGGGAGAATGATGGTGATCGGAATGCAGCTCTTTTACACGCGAGCATTAAAGATCGGCGAAAACGATCATGTATCCAAGTTGCTCGTCAAGATGGCTCTCTTACTACACATCCTCTAGATATTGGTCCCATTGCTAAAAAAATCTTCGCTGCCTCACGGAGTGCCTGCTTTGGTAAATGATGACCTTAATGTCGATTTTTTCCGTATTCCGAGTATGGACGAAATCAATGATGCCGTCAAAGGTTTGAATCCATTGAGCACTCTAGGTAATGACGGATTTACAGGCCACTTCTACGCAGCCTGTTGGGAGATCATTAAGTACGACATAAATAACTTTATTGGCGACTTCTTCTGTGGAGGTTATATGTTTAAGGAGACGAATAGAACCATCCTGGTTTTGCTGCCCAAGACCGAAAGTACTCGAAATATTGCCGATTATTGTCCCATTAGTTTATGTAACTTCTCTGGAAAAATTATCTTCAAAATTCTCGCTACCAGATTGGGGAAAATTTTACCTCTTCTTGTTTCGGATGAACAAGCGGGATATTTTCAGGGTCGGCAAATCACCACTCATATTGTTTTGTTGCAAGAGCTGATCCGCGACATCAATCCTAAATGTAAAGGAGGGAATGTTGTTTTTAAATTGGATATGGCCAAAACATATGACCGATTGGAATGGCGGTTTCTCTTATGAGACATGCGTTCCTTTGGTTTTTCTCATGCAACGTGTGACCTTACCTACCGGAATATTTGTGGTATCTGGTACTTGTTCCGAGTCAACGGAAATATTGTAGGTAGTTTTAAATCGACTCGAGGGGTCCGCCAAGGAGATGCGCTATCTCCACTCCTATTTATCCTGGCGCAGCAAATTCTAACGATCAATATCTCCAAAAAAATTGAAGCTAATCAAATTCAACAGTATAAAATGGGGAAAATGAATTGGCGGTTTCCCACTTGCTTTATGCAGACGATATCCTCGTCTTTGCTAATGGGGGGCTGCAATTTAAATAAGCGCTTATGACCGTTTTTACGGCCTACGATAAATCCTATGGTCCGTTAATCAACACAACAAAGAGTCATCTATATGTGGGAAAGTGGGCGGAGTCTGAGTATACACGTATCGAGAAGTTAATTGGGATTCGTAAGAAAGAGCTACCTCTACTGTACCTTGGGGTGCCAATTTACTCGGGGAGAAGTAAAGTCGAGTACTTTGAATATCTTGTTCAGCAAGTCCGTCGAAAACTTCAAGGATGGAAAGGCAAGCTCCTTTCTTTTGCGACCAAAATCACGCTACTTAAATCGGTGCTTTCCAGTCTTCCGATTTACACATTAGCATGTTCAAAAGTCCCAACAGTAGTTCTTAACCGTCTCGAACAGCTTATCGCTTTCTATTTAGGGCAAATTACCAAAACCCCCCGAGGTAAGTCTGAATAACGGAAATACCCCCCACGTTCTCGTAATTACGAAAACCCCCCTGAGGTATGCAGACATCTTACAAATCGCTCTAACGGTGTTAAACTCGATAGAATCTTTTTGATTCTCCTGAATATTCCTCTGATAATACCAATTTTTCCCCTTTAGCTTTTACCCCTTTCGCCGGACGCTAAACCCCCTTCGCCGGACGCTTCGATATTCCTATCCCGCATCATCAACAAATGCTCGGAAATCAACGGCCCGGAAATCCGGCCGATCCCAATCACTTCACAACTTCAGGAAGAAACCCGACCCGGAATTGGAGGATCCGAATCACCCAAACCCAGCTTGTTTCACAGGCCTCCACAGTCCTCCTGCAACGACCCGGAATTGGAGGATCCGTTTCTTCGCGGCTGCGCAACCGGCTGATTCGCGCATGGCGCGCAGTGGTGGTACGCACCCGACGCCTTCAGCGCCATATCCTTGATCTAAATTGAACATTTTCCCCCTAACACCAAATTTCAGAGGCGAAAATATCCCCAAAATCCGACGAAACCAGAAGGTGAATATGTCAAAAAATGTACGAATCAACGATGAACAAAACCTGAGAAGTGAGGGTTCTAACGGCCTGCTTAGTAGGTACGCCGCCGTCGGAGTTGCTGATCTTTTCAACAGAGTGGTGGTGGTGGTGGTGGTGGTGATTATGATCGATGGACGGCGATTCATCACCCCCACCTTTGCTTTTTTAACCTCCTTTATTTTTATTTTTATTTTTACATATTTAACAGAAGGATATATTAGACATTTCACGTTTTCGGTTAAAAAAAATTGGTCAACCGTTAGTCAAGGGGGTTTTCATAATTACGAGAACGTGGGGGGGATTTTCGTTATTTAGGCTTACCTCAGGGGGGTTTTGGTAATTTGCCCTTCTTTTTATGGAGCTTGGGTGGTGATGCTCGTACTTATTGGGTTAAATGGTCCACGGTTTGTAGACCAATGGAGGAAGGTGGATTGGCTATTCGTCTTATTAAACAAGTATGAGATGCCTGCATGGAAAACTTTTATGGCAAGTGATGAATGGTGACTCATTGTGGGCTCGTTTTGCCAAAGCCAAATACTACGATAAGAGGATTAATATTAATAGGCGGACGACATCTCCCCTTCGGAACGCAATTCACAGCCATGTTGATACTATGGAGGAATGCACTTAGTGGATCGTGGGTCGAGGAGCGGTCAAATTTTGGTCAGCGAACTGGCTTGGTGAACGACTCACTGGACCCTTGCCTTGTGATGCTCGTCTCACGGTAGCAGAAGCTCTTACACAAATCGAGGATTACTTACCGATAATCCCCACCCATTGGCATGACCAGATTCGACAGATTATTTTAGACGTTAATAACCCTGATCGATTGGTTTTTACTCTCACTCAAAATGGTGAATTCTCAAGAAAATCATACTGGGATCATATTAGGGTCTTAGGTCGTCAACATCAATGGATTGATCGTATTTGGGGAAAGTTCATAACACCTAAAACTAGTGGTTTTATTTGGAAATTGATGCATCATGCGTTGCCGGTGGATCAACGTGTAATATCGAGGGGAATTCCTATGGTCTCTAGATGTTTTTGTTGCCAAACTCCCAAACAAGAAGACATAAATCACTTGTTCTTCAACTCCGAGGTGGCTAGATAGGTGTGGCAGGGATTTGGCTCCCTCTTCCACCTTCAAGTTCAGTTTTCGTCGGCAAAACACGCATTAAATGTATGGATTCCAATTCCCAAGAACCTATCTTTCTACAATATTGTTCGTGCCTCGGTGGCCTGCAATATTCTTCGAGAACTTTGGGTTGCTCGATGTAAGGTGGTTTACGACAGCGGTAAGATGACAAGTGCCAATATTATCCATAGAGTTTTTTTATCACGTCCAGAGCATGGGCATGGTACATGTACCAAGGGAGCCTTCCACAAAAAATCAACGGTTACAAGTGGAGGCTGGGGGTTTTCGATTTTATCCAATACCAGTCAAACGAGGGGTGTGGTATAAATCGGAATATCCGAGCATTGGAGAATACAAACTTAATATGGATGGTTCGGCTACGGCAGAGCACTGTACTAGTGGAGGTATTATTCGAGACTCGGGAGGACATCTTGTTGCTGGCTTTTTTATATTCTTTGGCATGGGTTCAAATAACTATGCGGAATTCGTAGCAGTAGTTCATGGGCTGAGATTATGTAAATTGTTGGGAGTTACTGCGGTTACGGTTGAATCTGACTCCTTGTTGGTCATAAACTCCATTGGGACCAATACAGTTGCCTGGGATCTTGCATACGTTCATCGACTTTGCATGCAGGAGGTCGATGCTACTTTCCGTTTTCAGCATATATTTTGTCAAAAAATATGGTTGCTGATCGGCTTGCAAACTGGGCGTATACGCACAAATCAAGTCAAGAGTTTTTGCCGCCTCTAACTTACCGCCAGAGGTGAGGGCTGCCTATACATGTGACAAATTGGGAATAGCGAATTTTCGCATTTGATGAGTGCTGGAGGATGAAGGTTCGACATAATGCACTTATTTACATTTTGTTCCTTTTTGGGGACGATTTCACGATTTTTAGAAGTGCTGACTGCTGCGCTGGGTGCTTTGGTCAGGCCTCCTATGTTGGACTAATTATAGATTAACTCACATCTGGGGGGCTAACAACAATAATACAAACTTTTATTAGGTTTCTAAAATTAGGACTTGTAGTTTCTTTTATATCACTTTTTACCCCATTTTGGGGTTGTATTGTAATAGTCTAGCTAGATTAGACACGGATTTTTTATTACCATTGTAGGGGTGCTCTTTTCCTTGTGTTAGGCCCACAAGGTTTTAACGAGGCCCCCTTTCGCCTATATTTAATGGAATAATAAAATCTTTTTGGCAAAAAAAAAAATTTGAAAATCCTGCAGACGGCCGTCCAAGAAGGCGTAGAGCCGCAGTAAAGGAATTCTAGTTGCAGAAGGAAACGGCCTATTTCTCCAACTTTTCCACCCCTATAAAAGACCAATTCAAGCACATAATTGAGGAGTAACTTTTGAGACAATCTTACAGCAAGAGGAGCGAGAGAACGGAGAGTCGAAGATAGAGAATTGACAAATCTTCATCATAACTCTTCTTTCATCTATCTTTTCTGAATCTATGTCTTACAATATTTTTATTATGTTTTTCGTAGAGAACATGAGTAGCTAAGTTTTTTATCTAACATTTTATTATAACCCTATGTGGTGATTCAAACCTATTTTTCTAATATTATGCATGTTTAATTCCATGATTATTTCTTCTATTTGATCTTATTTAGTGCATGAATCTAGCTAATTTATGTTACTATGCGTTATTATTAGAATTGAATCGACAGATCGTTTTAATAATTAGAACAGGGATAGAAGAGCCTTCGAGTTGTTTTCACCGGATCAGTGTATTAATTGCATGTATTATCATAGACATACAAATTATAATACTTAGGTAGCAGTTAACGAGATTTGTTAGTTAATGCTTTATTCATAGCTGGTTTGGATAGAAATATAGTGAACCGTATTATGAATAGTAGATTCATAATACACGCGACAACGGGTTATGAGTAATTTCGTGTCTCGGGTTAATAATCGGGAATCGTAACTTGCATGATAGAGGTTTAATTCGGTGTTGAATTATCTAATAGGGGGGAGATAAAATCCTAGATCCTTTTTTATTGATATGTTTCTCGTGTTTATTTGCTTTTATAATTAGTTTAATTATTTAGTTGATTAAATTTGACAACCTTGCGTAGGCTGGATAAAAATCATAATTGTTAGAATTTGGTAGTTAGGGTTAGATAATTTGAGTATTCCCCGTGGGATCGACATCCGACTCTTACGAGTCCACTATTACTACTTGTTTGTGATACGTAACTACAAACTCAGAAGCAATGAACAATTAAAGGCGCTTTGGTATGGTAGAAGTTTTCTTCCATTATACATACATGTTCTTGTTTTCGAAAAACAGAATATTCCTTGTTTAAACACAATTTGTCTAGTTCGATAAGTGTCTTGGCGAAAATGCCACGCTGATTTCAAAATATAAACTAGATCTTATGATTAATTCTTATTCTTACTTCATTTTGTCGCCAGAAATCTTAATACTTTAATGAATCAGGTGACGTACAAGAAAATTGCGTTAATTGGAAACAATAACTAAGAGGTATTGAAAAAAAGTGTAGCTCGATATCAATATTGTAATTTGATCGCATAAACACACGATGTGTAG